GGAGACACCATATGGTGTCGGAGAAATAAAGACATTGCGGCGTATACAGCTTGCTTATACTCGGCTGCGCTCGCCGTCATTGGGGATTGGAGCATCGGGATTCCCATCGGGGTTCTCTCCATGTCTGCCAAGAGGCCAGTCACCATCCGCGTTTGGAATGGTCTGTCACATTCAACCATGTTGATGAACAGGGGTTTTACTGCGCTTTCTTTGTTTCTTTGTTTTTGGGGCATGGTTGTCGCGTGGACTGTGTGGCACCTGGACAAAAAAGAGCCTCGGGTGCCCGACCATCCGAGAGCCATGGCATCCTAGCAATTCTCCACTACGGAAAATACCGTGGTGCAATCATGGCCAAGGAAAAGGAACTTATCTGAATGGCGGGTCCGAGTCATGCTGTTCTGGAACTTCGAAACAATTTCTAATTTGCCTTCGGGTGCTCGGGCGGCGATCGCTGCTTGTACCTCTACGTTGTAAGGTATAGTTTGGGTTTTATCTTGTATTGTACGGGGAGTACAGTGCCTATCCCCGTTATCTGCCCAGCTTCCGCGGTGTCCCTGTCCTTTTTCCCTGCGTCAGGGTCAATATCTATATCGCCAACAGCGTCTGCACCTACAGATACGAGATGCAAGCTTTGCATTGGCCAACTGTAGATTCAGCCACCTTGCAACTCTCGGGGATCAACATACAACATACCGAGATTTTAACTTTATGTCGATTCCAACTTACATTCTTTCCAGTTGCATGCATTGCTCTCAGACAAAAACAGCGCAGCATCTTTACGAGATACGGCCCTGTGTCCCCCGGGGACCGCCGTAGCCATGCCGGGGCCACACTCTGTTCTCGGGTGCTAGCCACTAAACCCCAGATCTTTCCAAAAGATCCTCCGTTAGTGGATGTCTGTGCGCTGCGCGATGATGCTGATCCTATGAGATGGTACTAGGTAGGAATAAACGGCGCAGCCTTGTTGAGACATCACCCCTTCCTTTCTCTCCTGCGGTACATCCAATTGAGCCTCCAAATTTCCCCCCCTCTTTGCCACCTGAGCATTCACCTCTCACTAACCGCTGTTGGAAGAGAAAAAAAAACCTTGCAAATCCAAAACACCGCTTTCTCCGCCCCTGAAAGGTCGGAGATACAATTATTTTGCGCAGTCGAAATGACAAAAGCATGAAAAGCATAGTGTCTCTTCAATGGCCCCTGATTATTTAAAGCGGGCGCCAGGGAAGCCCGTTCCATGGTTCAGTGTACCCGCTTCCGTCCATGGGTCGGGAGAACTCTGTGAGTCTACGAAAGTCCACCGTGTGGGAAAATACGTTCTACGCATTCTGTAGCCCCTCTTTGAATTTCCTTAGGGGAAGCCTGTCTTCTCCCTTTTCTTTTCGTCATGTCCGCTCCAACAGGGCAATTTCACAGGCTGTCCATTGGTCGAAACATGCCAGATACAGCCCTGCCTGCTAGAGCGGCCCGCGCGGGGCGGTCGGGCTCTTCCGGTGACGACGGTGATCATGGAGAGGACAATAAATCTTCAGAGAGCTCCAGTGATGGAGAAGAGGAGGAGGACGACGATGAAGAAAGCACCGATGACGAACAGTCCGAATCGAATAGCGCCTCCGTCCTCGCAACCTCCGGCATTACCTATGACCTCAGCCAACTAGATTCCGAGTCGGAAGCCAGGGCCTTGGTGGGCTTGACTGGCCGTTTTGATGTTGTCAACTGTCGCTCTACTCCCGCCGGGTATGACTTCCAGCTGTCGGATCTGCCACAGGTGCACATTGGCGGGGACTCGTCTACCTGCACTTGCGCGGTCTTCCAGGATCGACCGGACGGGGCGTGCCAGCACATCTTTGTGAGTATGCCTTTTGGGGAAGGAAAGCTTAAAGGCTGAAGGGCTTATACTGCCAATACTAACCCCCATCCCCTGAACAGTGGCTCGTCGACCAACTGCACGGTTGCCTCCTCCCCACGCCTCGGTTGACGGAGGTGACATTGACTGCAGACGGACGTCCGGACCGCCTCCCTCGCATCGAGGATCTACTGAAGGGTAACCTGGGGTCGGTTGCAACACAGCTCAAGTGGCAGTACCTACGGGAGGATGAGGATGGGATGTCGCGGACAGAAAAGGTCCGGGACATCTTCTCTGCGTTCAATCGGACTCTTCCAGAAGACACCCGCCGGGACTTGACGGAGACACCCGAGCAATCACGAACGGCCGAGCAGCTGGTGGTCCAGGGAGATTTCGAAGCGACGATGTTCCGGCTTGCAGTGCACGACGACGGGGTTTTCAGCAGCCTCTGCAAGGCGATGCCCGCAGGCGCGTGTGCGGCCATCTACTTCGACAAAGTACAAGAGCAGTCACGCCGACTACTCAACGACTTCGACCGATACTGCACAACCGGCGAGTTGCCCGCGAACCCCGTGAGCCCAGGCCTAGGCATAGATATCAACGACGTTGTAGCACAGCTCCAGCGTTCTTTATCCCGGATTGAAGTCAACATCGCAGCGCGTGCCCCACACGGCTCAGAAGGCGCCGCCGAAGCCCTCGTGTCTCTTTTGGAGTCAGTTGTGGCTCGCAATAATGATCCCCTCGAAGGCAATCCCATGGGCCGCCAGTCCTTCCACGGCGAAGACGAGGACCAGCGCAATCTATATCACTTGCTCATCGGGTCGGTCGAAACAGACTCCGAAACAGACGCGCGGCACTTTGTCCTTCACGCGCTTGATACCCTGCCGCCGGTGGACCTCCACCAGTGCGCCAACCGCCTGCGCGACATCCTCCGCAAGATCGAAGTCAACCGTGCCCCGAAGCCATATCTCATCCATCTAGGATCGTTGGTCCGTATCGCTGAATCTGCCGCTGCTGCTGCTGCTGCTGCTATGGGATCTGGACAAAAGCGACCGGCGGCTGGGAATGGCAATTCCGGGGGATACTCAAAACGAACCCGCTGAATAGTTCTCTGATCTTTTTTTATACATATGTTTGTTATCTTGTTCTGGGAGGCCATCGTGTTCATTCATTGCAATACCCCGCTGCATCGTGTCTTTACGTTTCATCAGCGACGAATCGCTCCGGTTCTATTTTGCTTCTCGGTCATGTCATTCGTTTTACGTCTTTTGGTGTCTACTATATATGATCATGAGAGCCGTTAGTATTGCCATAGCCATTTTCATATACAATCGTTACAATCGTTACCTACAGGCAGCGCAGACAAAGTTTTCAAAACCACTGGAACCATCAATTCCCATGATCATGTTGAAAGCAAAATACAAGTCCTATGATAACATGTCGTCATTCCCAAACCCAGCACAACGGTTTTGGGACCCCACGTCCACGGTCCGGCCTCGTGAGCCGGGTGTCACCGCTATCACCCACCCAGAAGGGATGAGCTAGCCCGATTCACGAGGTCGAACCATGGAACAAATTCTCCATAGAATGTGGGTCAACCACACTTTGGAAATGCCTCGTGGATTTTTTGATTTTCTTTTTTTTTTTTTTGCTCCCCGAACAAAGCACACGAATCAGCAAAACCAAAATATATTGCCCAGATTAAGACTGAAAGTTGTCCATGGATACATAATTCCAAATTTACCTAGGTAGATCTCGAGATTTGGATCCGTCCAATCGCTTCGCACATCCGATGATCTACGGAGTATTATGTATGTATCTACTTTTTATTTGGGTACGAATATAACTATGGGGACCACACGGCATCTCAATTCCAAATTCCAAATCAGCCCCTCAATCCACGCCCAATGCACAAGTTATATTCGGTAAACGCTCACCGATAACGTGCCTTGAAAATGCGGTGTACTGTCTTCGTCCTACGATTAGATATTCACGCTCCATATGTACCCGTCGTGGACTGTATATTACCTAGGTTGGCTGTGGGAGTTTGTGTATTAGGCCATAGGATTCCACGTGAAGACTCAAAGGTGGATATTATCATGCCACGTTTCCCAAGTTTCAACGTTTTGGACAGGGATTGATGCTCTGCGCGACTAGGATTACATACTCAGCTCCAAGCCGAGTTTAGGCCGTGAAAGTCAATATTGGGCCGTGCACACGGCTGTGTTCCTGGATACATTGGGGGCTAGTATGCTTAGTGTGCTTAGTGCTGTGTTTAGCTTATAGGGTGGGCTTGTCTTGGTGGGTGTAGGTGGACTTGTCTTGGTGGGTGTAGGTGGACACCTGTTGCAATGGTGTTGTATAGTTTGACAATGTCAAGCGTGGAAATATTGCCATTCGATGCAGCAGAGATTAACAAATCCTTGAATGTTCGGCGAATGATGCGTTGGGGGGCAATTTCGACAATGTATTGCACCGCGGATTGCATATGGTCGCTGACTGCGGCTCTCAACAGACTGTCGTAGGCTTTATCCCACAGTTGCTTGATTTGCTCCTCCTTGATAATGAGAAGAAATGCCGAATTCGCGCTCGAATTTGCTGCTGCGAGAAGCGCTTAACGAAGCGTCGACGGTTCAAACATATGACCTGTTTGGAATAAGGACCTGATAACGTCTGCACTATCAAAGATCGCTGCCTTCTGCACTGCAATCTCTTTTAGGATTTTCCTCTGAGCTCTAGTGACCAATTGTAGGCCACATATCACACTGGATGACTTGCCTCCATGACACCCAGAAAGAACAATTGGAAGCGCGAATTTGGTAACAATTATCTTCTGGAAAGGATGGTTATTAGCAGGCAGAGAGAGACCTTCAGTCGATCATTGCATAACGTTACCTTGGGATCTTCCAGTTGGCAAATCTCCTTCCAGGTGTTCAAATTCAGCCAAGTAGCATCTGAATAGGTACTTCCCCGGGGGGGCGGGGGGTTTCCGTCTAGCCAGTATGTACTTTTCTCGGAGCAGGTTGATTCAAATGCCGTCAGGCGCTCGGTCTCCTTTTGATCGTTGATTTCCACATACTTGAGCAAATGCTCAATCGTAGAAATATGCCCATGCCAGGCTGCACGTTCCTATGCACCCTGAATATTGAACCATAGATCAATACCATTCGACAAAATGTTTTTCGACAAGTCCAGCCTGGCCAGTCTGAGCAGCTCGCAATAAAGCCTGTCCGATGTCTTCCACGCCAATTTCCAGCTTCTCTCTGTCATGTATCATATGTTGAACAATGATACTGCGGTGCACTCTCCCATTTGACTTATTGCGTATACATGTCTCTGATCTCTGATTGACTGGGATGCTCTCGTTGGAACTCTGACTCGGATAGGCCTTGCGCCTCTCGGAATATCTCTTCGAGCTCGTATGCAGGAGACTGCACGTCTGTTTCCTCGTATATCTTGACTCGCTCGCCCTGAGAACGATACCCGTCACTGACGTAGGAAACCTCGTAAATAGAAGGTTTGCTACCAGATCCCCCTCCTTGCCGTGACATTAGGCTTGAAAGCGTGTAATCAACACGACCCGCCCGAAGATGCGGCAAGATATAATGCAGTATGACCAAGCAGGTTTCTCACGTCAGCATCAAAGTCTTCCTTCTCCACGAGGAGAGGCAAAACATCCTCTAGACCATATATACACGCAATTAATAGTGGAGTCATACTGTCGCTCATAAGAGCGTTCAGCACTTTCTTTAGTCTGTGGTGGTTTGGTAACAAAGTTGAGGCGAGCTGCACTGTTTCTAGCCAGACTTCGAATGCTAACGATGTTTCGTCATCCTCTGAGAAGATGAACTCTTTCACCTTCGAAATGAGGACATCATGTTCAGTTCCCGTCTCCATCGCTGATCGGTAGTGTATGGCCCAGTAGAAGGCCGCATAGAGATGAGATTCCTCGGTAATCCTGTCCGTTGAAATTCTCGTTTTTGTCATTTTAGTTAGTTAGAGAGTTGTACAACAGTGCCAAGCGCCCAATACACCTGCCGGGTATTGGTGCGCCCCAGCAGATGCAAGATTTCCACCAGATGCAAAATTCTAGAAATTAGGTATCTTTTGTATGACTTACCTATACCAAAGGTACTTAGGCACCCCGTAGGCATAACATACATTTTCTGAGCCCTCGAACCAGCTAAAGTAATAGAAAGTGTACGAATATATAGTACAAGTCTAGCTTAATTAATTTAATGGTAGTATTAATTCTTAGTATCTAATATGGAAGAAGAAGAATAATTTAAAAATGACGCTATATGAAGGCTATATGGTAGAAATATACTAGATACTTTCTTTATTTTAGTATACTTAATATTCCTTACCCAAGTTTGGTTAAATAATATAGACTTCCTTTACACTATATATATATCTTCTTATATCTTCCCTAACTAGTTTGAGGGCCGAGAAAATGTATGTTATGCCTACGGGGTGCCTAAGTACCTTTGGTATAGGTAAGTCATACAAAAGATACCTAATTTCTAGAATTTTCCATCTGGTGGAAATCTTGCATCTGCTGGGGCGCACCAATACCCGGCAGGTGTATTGGGCGCTTGGCACGGTTACCATTGAAAATAACATATAGTTATTGTCGTACTGCCAGATTTCTGTCGGAATATTCTAATCGGTGCCTTTGTCTCTCTTAGCGGCCTTTCTAGATCGCTTAAGGCTTATTTATATAGAAAAAATATATAGAAAGAGAAGCTAATTGTAATACCGAAAGGCACTAGCGTATGTTTAACAATACGAAGCACACGTACGAACTCACGCTCCGGAGAACTGCGGATTTGTAATCATGAGATACCTAAACACAGCGCCTGTTGATTTTGTTAGTGTGATTCAGTTTAAGAGGACATCAGGAAATTCTAAACTTAACCACTCGGCCACACTTGCTTATTAAAGTGTGATATCAGACAATAACAGTTATCCCGTGGATGCCTTTGTCTACATAGTCATCTCATTGATGCCTCCATTTGTTCGCAGACTGAGTCCTGTCTTTGTTTGTCAGGGTATAAGTCCCCTGTTTTCGATAGATTGAATAGATCATGATTCCTCTTCTTCTTCTCTCTCTCCTTAGCTAGTAGCTCCAACAATTAGATTTGTTCAAACCCTGAAATACACATAGATTACTGAGAAGGTCTTTTACCCCGAGAGGTACGATTGCCATCACTGTACTATTTCACGATCTGGTTTATCACATGCCAGGGATCGTTTTTGTTTTCTTTGTTCTTCCAAGGTTTGTTTGCTTCGCTGAGCAAGAGCTCGGTGGTTTGCATTGTTTGCATAGATCTATGGCATATCAACTCTCCGTGGTTGATTCAAGATCTTGCTTCCTTTTTCTCCCCATCTCTAACACTAGTATTTTGAGTTCAGTACTCTTTCTTGAAGACATAGCTCGTAACATACTATAGAACATTTACGCCATATATAATTAGCTCCCGTTAGTCACCAACGTTTAGGAGAAGTGCCAAATTGATAAATGTGATTAACTTGGTTGATCGCTTCCCGAGGTGGTAGTGTTACCGTCAACATTACATCCCAAGGTTTGACTTATCAAACTTGGATCTCCAGGGCTACGGATGACCTCCGACACCTATTTCGGTACCTCTTTTGTCGGTTGACTCACAATTAAACCACCACTCGAAGTCCCAGTTCAACACACTTACCTACAAGTTGCCACAAAAGAATATCCAGGCAAAAAAATGAACATGCGACGAGATCTACAAGAACGCCCCGAGATTCTCACTCGCACGAACTGGAAATCATGGAAGAATGAGATCGAAAAACACGCCCGAAAAGAAGGAGTTTGGAAGTACTGCAATCCCGATGCCCCAAGTGAGTACTACCCCGAGCTCCACGAACCCGAGAAACCACACGTTTCCACGGTCCGACCCGAAGCAAAATCCATCGTGGATCTTGGAGAGGATGACTTCATCGAACTATCCTCGATCGTGGACCAATACTGGAAGCAGATGCGCACATACGAAAGCATTCAAACAAAACTGCAGGTCATCTTTGAACTTATAGAAAACCATGTTGATTACGAACACTTCAGTCTCATTAAGCACGCAGAAACGCCGCTGGAGCAGTTGGCGGTGCTATCTGTTAAATTCAAGAAATCCTGCTTAGAAGATCTGCAGCCAAGATGGGAGCGTATACAAGAGCTGGCTAATAAGGCGGATGTACGAGAGCTGTTTAAACTATGGAATGTCCTGTTCACAGATTGCAATGCGTATCTTTCTGGTTCCGCTCGAAGGCAGGATGCCTTTTGGGATTGTGTCGAGACAACGGGAGATATCTCGGCGACTTGGCTGCCTCTCACTTCCCAGCACTGGATTGAAAATCCTGATCATGTTGAGTCCATGAATCATGGAGATGATTTCGCTCAGCCCCATTCACCGGCTAGACGGGAGTCTGTCACTTCCCAGGACCAGATTGAGACCCCCGACCATTCGGAGTCGAGGGACTATGGCGATGATTGCGCTCAACTTCGTTCACGGGCTAGACGGGGGTCTATCGCTTCTCGGTACCGTATTGGCTATATTGGCTTCTACGATCCGGCGGTGTCGACTGAGCGCACATCTCTGAGCCCTCAACCCGGTTCTGTGGCAGGTCAGAGTGATCAGCTTGAAGAGATATCTGGGGACGATGTGGATGTAACAGGTCTTCTACAGCGGTTGAGACTGCCACGGGGGAAAGAAAGCGAAGTCTAACTGTAATAATTTGGATGAATGCTAGACAAGATTGGTTACTATGCGTTTTATGTGGATTTTTTTGGTGTTTTGAGAAGGAACATTTGTGTCTTTTCGGTTTCGATAACAAGTCAGCTCTTGAGAGTTGATATAGCTATTTGCTCGTGGCGGGCTTTTGCTACCATTGCTTGACGAGGTCATTGGACCACTTGATGGCCTAATCTTTTGTTTACCACGACAGGCTTTATACAAAATCGAAATCAAAACTGAGACTCTATTTCTATTTGTATTTTAAGAATTCCAAAATAAATCCTTGAATAGTGGTTGGATGGGCCATGTTATAAGGTTGTGAAAGTAAAAACAAACAAGACGTTTTCTCTCTGCCTTTTATCCTCAACAATATTCTTCTCTATTTGATCCATTCTATCAATTAGAGAAAATCCAGCATCACTCCCAACAACGGCGTTTTGCCCATGGTGCACCATGGTCGAGTCGTCCGACGCTCTGCGTAACACTCGTTTTCTGCGGAGTGTGACTAGTGTTGAGACAGGAATTCCTGTAGTAAATCCTACAGTGATATCTCCTGGAGGTAGGTTTCCATGAGTATAAAAGTCAATCGTATTAACTAATTCAAAGAATATCATCCAAACACCGAAAATACTCTCTATTCATGACAATATGTATGTCTTGTCCCTGATCGTACGCCAGTTTCGACTGCTGCGAGTTAATGTAAGGGACAAAGAGCATCAGCTTTTCCTACAGAAATGCCCTCGGTGGATATACACCTTGGAATGCACATTTTGATATGATTTTGCATGGAGTGTGTCTTTTCTTGATCTAGGGCGTGTAACTTACTTCCGGCACATGGCCAGGTGGATCTCTCTGGCTTATAATGCACATATGGGAAAAATTGTATAATAACAGCACGGCCGGCTGGCCCAATGGCAAGGCGCTTGACTACGAATCAAGAGATTGCAGGTTCGATCCCTGCGTCGGTCACTTCTTTTTTGTTTCATCTATTTAATTCCTCCAATAGAGAATGCCTTTTTTTGGGCTTTCCTTTACATTCTTTTGGTGTAGAAAAATCTTGAATGAATATAGATTATCCTCGGTGGTTTCGACAAGAAACCCCCACTCAATTGGTGCGAAATTTCAAAATTATCGAATATGGTAGTTGCCGGAGGAAATTTATATATCCCAGCCATAACGTTGCATCTCGACCAACCAATTATTTTCTACAGGAGCATACACAAAATATTCATAGTCGCAAACAAGATGTAATCAGATTCAATATGCCACACACACACAGAATTCATGCAGAAAGATCCAACACAACCCGACCCTGCAGCTTCCCCTCCTCGATCTCCTTGAACACCTCAGTCAAAGCATCCATCTTCTCCGTCCGATAATGCACCTTAATAACACCCCTAGCAGCAAACTCCATAGTCTCAATAGCCTCCCTCCGACTCCCAACCGCCGACCCCGTAATAGTCCACTGCTTGCCAACCATCGAAATCGGGAACGCCGTCGCAATAGCCTGCGGGTCATTTTCCGGCATGCCGACGCAGACAAGCGTACCATTAAAACGCAGCAACGGCAACGCCTGCGCATACGCCGCATTCACAGCCGTACAGACAATCGCCGCGTGAGCGCCCAGCCCATCCGCCAGCGAATGAACATGCTTCGTCAGCGCGGCGCCATTATCGTCCCTCGGGAACTGCGTGATATCCACGAAATGCTCCGCCCCGGATTCCTTGACTAGTTCCTCTTTGCTGCCGTGGTCGATGCCGATTACCCGCAGGCCCATTCCCCGGCTCGCGAGCTGCACTGCGAGGTGGCCGAGGCCGCCGCCGGCGCCGGAGATTATGACCCATTGTCCGGGCCTCGCGTTGCTGCGCTTCAGGGCGGAGTATACGGTTACGCCGGCGCAGAGGAGGGGCGCTGCTGAGGCGGAGTCGAGACCGTCTGGGATGGGGGTTACGTAGTTTGCGGGTCCTAGTGTGTATTGCTGGAATGTTCCGGGCGTGTAGTAGCCGGAGACTTTCTGGTTGAAGCACAGCCCGTCGGCGCTGGCTTGGCAGGGTTCTGGATGGGGATGATGTTAAGTTCGAGGTGTATATTTGGGTTGTTGAGGACAGTAAATGGTATACGTACGGCAGTGCCCACATGCGCTGGAAACCCACTTGACGCCGACTCGATCTCCGATCTTCAGGTTCGAGGATTCAGTGCCTGCACCAAGCTTCACTACCTTGCCGACACCTTCGTGGCCGCCCACTTGGCCCGGCAGAGTTGGGTTTGGGAACATGCTCCACTGGGAGGTATTAGTCAGTACTCGAGACATGGGGAGAATTGGATGTGCGCATACTTTGTTGGTCATGATACTAAAGTCCGAGTGGCACACGCCCGAGTGTGTTCTATCATTGTCAGTAATTCTAGTACGATAATCGCGATAAGACATACAAATTAATCAGAACCTCGCCGGTACCAGGCTCTGGAACATCTAATTCCACAACCTTTGTTGAAACCGTCCCAGGCTGGTCGTAAATGACGGCCTTCTGCTTGGCGGGGATTTCAGGAGCGGCCATAATGACTGATTGCTGGTGATAGATCGAAATGAGGTCGGATACTGAAGTATGAAATCAATTTCAATTGGGTTTTCAGCGCTGGAGAGATGCCTGCGGAGAAAATGCTTAATCAAATGCTGGAATGGGTCTTAAGTAAATTATCCCATCTCTCGCCAAGTAATAAAAGAGGAGAAGTAGATCAAATGTGGAGAAAGGTCCTGGGTCGAATAGCGGGGTTTGAGGCCCATCGGATCAACGGATCATTTGCACACGCTGGCTAATGCAGTTTGTACCCAGATGCACGCTGTGCATACCGAGGAAGCTGGCTATTCAGTCATATATTATAATAATGTGTTCCTGGGAATTGAGGGGTGAGATGCGGAGTCATGGAAGGACCTCGGTTCCATTAAGCTGCATGCGTCTGTTCTTATCTGCATCCATTGCGGGAAAGAACACTGGAGTCAAAGTAGTATATTATAGAGAAAACTTAGGAGATAGAAGGCTGAGAAGGTTTTATATACATCGGAGAACCCCCAAGGTCCTCTCATCGATGATCACGTACATTTTATAAATACAATGTGCTATGTCCCTTTCCGGGTTAGGACTCATCCCTTGCCGCTGTGTTGATAAAACGGAGAACTCTCTTGGATACATCTATGGTTAAGATTCTGTAGGTCCATGGGTAGAGTTCGAAGGTTAACAGCCTGTTGAGGGTTACACGATTACGATTAACGGCTTCTGCCTACGCTATTCCTATTTGGGAAAGCAAGTATGTACCTACATGGTACCTACATATTTATAGCGGTGTGCTTTGAAATAGATAACAACCCTTGAACGAAACCCAGCTTCGGTTATTTACATTGTCTCATTCATAGCATAATCCTTTACATTGGATTCTACGGAGTCACCCATTTCTATCTTCACAATGGAGGACTCCAAGCAACAAATTCGCGAGCGCATCATCAGTCACATTCCAAATCTGATACAGGATCTTCTTCAAACGGTTGATTCAACGCCAATTTGAATACTTGGCGATACTCCCAACAGTGTTCTTGGCCCTGGAGATTACCTGGGGTCTACACATTTGGCCATTTTTCATATTTGAAATCATCGTCGCCAGCAGTTTCCCCGGAGGCGATCCGGACTTTGTCGTTCCCTGCCATCTAATTCGGTTAATATCTTATCAGATACTAAGTAGATAGGTCATGTAGGTGCCAATGCTATAGTTAGCATATTCCCGTAACCTATTCTTAGCATCTTCGCTCCGGAACGAGTTCATTTTCAAACTGTAGGGATGATATTTGGCGCTCTACTGAAAGACTGAGCGAGGTGAATTGTCTTGTACAGAAAGCAAGAATAAAGAAAATCATGGATTGAGCTGAGCTGTTGACTGGAAGAGAGAGAGAGAGGAAGGAAGACCAATCCAGGTAAGGAGCAAGAGTATCTTGTCTAATTTCATGACTATGGAAGAGAGAGAGAAGATCTATCAAGCAAGGAAGCAGCTCCTGATAGATGGGGGAGAGACAGGCCTCAGGAAGCCGCACTTCCTAGATGTCCTTTTAGATGTCTTTCTGAAAGTCAGACCAAGAAGATCAGGATATCCTAAACAAAGGGGGTCTTTTTAGATGGTCCTCTACCAAGCTAGTAATTCCTCCCCTACCTATTATACTTGGAGATATTATGTCCATTGATCAAGTTGCTAACCCTTATATGCACATGAAAAAAAAAAAACACCGGAAGATATCCATACTATCACAACAAAGCTCACACAGCTCATGCGTAAGATGCCCAGCCTATTTGAAAGTCAGTAAATCGATCGGTGGTCAAACAGGAGGGAAGAAAAGAGGTTACATACCGCAATACAACATGGCAAGGTTCTTCTCATCACTCGCCTGCTGAACTAATTCATTTACAGTTGCAGTCACACTGAGTGTTTTACTCAGTTTTTTGGCCACCACAGTTAACGCACGGTCAGCTTCACTAGGTTCATTCTCGTTCTCGCTCTTCGAGACGAGACCATCAGCTGCACCAGGCAGAGCTGGAGGTGCATCACTGGCTTGGTTGTCCTGCATCTGCATTTTCTTAACCCGAAGGGGTGAGACAGTCCAACTATACAACGGGTCATAACGTAATACATCAAGGATCGTCATTATGCTGTACGATTCTTGCCGAAGTGCTTCAAGGGTGAATTCGCAACAACGCCGGAAAACTCCTTCGGTCTTCGTGATGCCGAATCCATCAACTAGATCACGCGTCAACCGGAACGGTACTACCTCAGGAACAGGAAGCACACGTCCCTGCTCAAAGGCGACACCAAGATCGATGTGCACCACTTCCCCGGTCTTTTCATCTAGCAGGATGTTATGTCCATGCCGATCACCGAGGCCGAGCACATGACCTAGGATAGAGATGGCAGCTGTACTGCGTGTGTAGGCTAACCGCTTGCTAAACCAATCATCGGGGTTGTTGAACTTCTCCATGAAGAAGTACTTCATGACTGGATGGAAATGTTCAGTCACCTGCCGGTAGGTTCTGACGCGTTGCTCAAAGGATTTGGTCTGCACATCGGCAATGTGTTTCCGGCAAGAGTTTGGTTTCATGTCCTTCGGGAAGTACCTTTGATGTGCAGGCATCAGGTAGTCGTGCAGAGGAATCGTGTTCGGAACGAACTCAATGATTCCTGCGCTTGGTGTCAATGGCAGAACTTTGTATGTTCGAATGCCTAAGCTCCGCTGACGTGTGGGTTGGTGGTCTTTCAGAAGGCTGCTGACTTGCTCAAATACTTGCTCCATGATGGCATCTTGACGCAGGTCATCATTCCCTCCCTTGTACTGTTGTTTTGTTAGTTAGAACGTTGACGACGGACTTCAAATATCTTACCAATTGCTTGTAGCGCTCGCCGTTGGACGCAACGGCAGTCACAATTTTCGGCGCGCTAACGCCGGAAGCAATCGTGAACTCAGGGTGGAATTTCGTGATGGTAGGAATGTCACTGTAGTCGCGATCTGCACGGAGGCCGATTTTCATTGTCGGTGGTGGGAGTTTGTATGTGATGGCATCTTGTCCAAGGCGCTGGCCAGTAGTCAAGCTCTTCAATGGAACTTTAGCACCACTTTTGTATTTGCTGTCTGGTTTGTCAACTGCAAATCGCACATAGCTGATGTTCACATTGTGCACAGCAATCCAAGTCTGACCGATGTGACTATCGTTCTTTAAACGATCCACAAGTTGATTTGCAGCACGAAAACGCGAGTGGGATGACTGGTCTTTCCCTCCCTTGGACTTGCTGCTAGCGAAAATCTGGTACATGCCATGGAAAGGATGCTCCACACATATCCTGAATACCAATTGAGTGAGTAATTTCTGGAAGTCGTCGGAGACGTCGAGTAAGCGAGATGAAAGCTGATTCATCAATGGTGCAAATTTCCGGCTGGGCACCTCGTTGAGATACCGAGAAACAGCTGAATTTGCAGTCTCACTGTCTGATTTGTCAAGCCAGAGTGCACAGAAACGCAGAGCATCATTGTTGTAAGTATCGCTTTCCCTCAGACTGAGAAGGTAATTTTCCAGGCACTGCTGTAGGAAAGCCTCCCGACTTCGCAGCAAACGTTGATATTCGCGGTCGTCAAGGTCGAACCATTGCTTTGCTTTAGCCCGATAGTTCTTCAAGTACTCTCTCTCCTTACCTGTGGCATTCTTCATCATATCTTCCAGGCCAAGGACTTCTTTCTCCTTGCGATCACGCAGTTGTTCCACTCGCTTGAAATCTTCGAGTCCATCAGTATTCAGTAGCTGCTGATCACAAAAGGTTGCAAAGCCATGATAGACCCGTCCAGCCTCTTCTCCGTCGGAGCTTCCTTTCAATTCCTTAACCGCGGGATAAAGGTACTCTTGAAGAATCGAGTCAGGCTTTTCCAACCGCGCTTCAGCAACGTGGTGACCCTAAACATGATATTAGCACTTTATGTAAAAGAATTCTTCTTGGAAAGGTCTGATTCAGCTTACCAAAGTCACGAGAAGTTCAGCCCGACTGAGGGGGATTGCCTGCTTATGGAGGTCATTCTGACCCTTCAGTTGCTGGAGCATGCGAATGGACGCGGTCATCTCTCCTTGATCCCACAGGACATTGGCAAGATCGAATTTCGCAGCTCCATCAATGTTCATTCCTAACGCTGCGCACGGTTCGGCAAGCTTCAAAAGACTCATTGCAGATTTGAGCGATGCCTGGGAGATACCATGAGTTCTTGTGATTTCCAAGGATTGTCGAATGACTTTCGCTTCTAGAAGTCGCGAATCCCCGAGATTAAGTTTTGCCCGTGATTTGAGGATGTCATTCTTCCTGACTGATGAAAACAACGCCTCATGCCAAGACAATATTTCTCCAACTTCGTGATAGCTGCTCCAGTCAGTATATATCCTGTAGATAGTTTTGGCAAGGCAAACACGCACCTCTCGGTTTTCAACCAATTGCTTCTCGCCATAATAATCTGCCACCCTTCCTCCATGTCTTCGGAACACGTGGAGTGTAAAGTGTCGCTGATCTCGGTCATAATCCCCAACGCGCGCATTGAGCTTCGCAACTGAATAGCGGATCCACTGGTTTTGAGAAGAGAACCCAGTGTTGTCAACAGACCACTTTCGATTGAGCCAGTGACCTCGAGTAGAGAACCCGAGGTATTGAGACTTTGGAATGTACGGAATACAGTAGCAGATGGGGAGGAATCCAAAGGTGATACTGGAATATCCCATTTTTGAAGACTAGCAGCAGCTTGCAACATGCTATCAAAGGCCACAGGGGCATCGTTTGCACTGCAGGAGGCAGAGAGCATCGTATTGGCAATACCCTGAAGGTTGGTAGCATTCAAAGCCTTCAACACACCGCATGATTCTGCATTGTCAGACATCTGGATTTCACTGTCGTATTTTGCACTCTGAAACAGGAGATTTTTGAATCCGGAGCTTTCGTACTCCAGCCGTTCCATGACGCTGGTCAAAGACGAGCTCTGCTGAATGCCATAAAACAAGTCCGGGTCATCAATGTTTTTGAAAACATCATGCAGTAAAGCAGGCGGTGGCTCGTATCTAACGACAGATGATCGACGAGATGTCGTAACCACTCGGGATGTTTGTATTTCCAGGAAAAGCAGCGAAGTTTTATGCAAGCCGCAGCGATGTGCAGCCAAAGATGCCTCTCCGAAGTCAATATCAAGCCATTTATCGCGCTGGACTATAGTTGACTCATCTGGCACGGGTTGGTTTCGAAGGTAGAGAATGCAGTTGATCAAAAGCTGAGCGTGAGGTAATGTGTCCTCGCGAATCTCACACAACACCTGTCGGAAAGCGGCAGAGATATCTTCTCGGACCTCCCCTTTTTCGCCTTTATCCTCCCTTTCTGACAGCAAAACATCATGAACCACGTATGGCAACAGCTGCACTGCTAAGCCAGGAGTCATGTTGAGAACTTTGCGAAGAGAGCCAATGACTGGGTCTTCTAAAGCAGCATTCGATAAGAACAGGGAAACACTGCGAGCCCAGTCAGCAACCGACAGCCCGGAGGCGCTGGTTGCTGCATTTTCGCATCTCTCCTGCTCCGAATTTGAAAGTAAAACGGCGGGACATGTGTATGGGTTCCAGATGAGGGCTTTCATCAGAGATTCGGGAATCACCTCGCTGCAACCTTGGAAATCTGGATAGTTCGCGATGTTGCTGACGATCAGCTGCAAAGTACGCTCAACCAGGCCAGCTTCAAAATGCTTTTGCACGTGTAGCATATCGCAAAGCACGCGAAGAATTCTGGCCTTAGAATGGCAGAAAATATCAGATGACAATGAAGACTCAGGGGATTGAAACAGTGAGAGATCCTGTTCTCGCAGGAGCAATTGATCGATCTTTCCAGTGGCAGCGAAGGATCTTCCGATGACCCGAGCGGCCCAAAGTCGATACTGAGGTCCTCCATTGGAGTTTTGAAGTGTGTGCCATAGAGATACAACGTGGGAAGCGGGGTCCACATCTTCATTTGAGATCCAATTCCCAGTGTCGGATGTCTGCTCGAATTCGGGACATAAGAGCGACAGTACAAGATCAGCCACAGGCTTACTCAACAGCGAATTCACAGAATCGCGGTCTTTGAGAACTTCAAAGACCAAATCTTTCCCAACCTGTCCACCGGAAGAGTCCTCAGATGTTGAGAATTTCTCAGCTAGTGAGACAAGCCGATCAAAAGATACTTTCGTCTCTGTATCCCAATCAGAGGAACGGAGCTCTCCAAGAAGCTCGACCAGCCATTGGTAGAATTCTTTTGCATTTGATTGCACTGTTCTGAACTGACTCTCTTGAGTCGTGTTCTCAGGTAACGACGAAAATATTCTGCGGAGAGTGACCAGAGTTGAGACAGCAATACCTGCAGTGAACCCCGGTGTCACCTGGAGGTATGGTTTCCCTGCGTCGAGTAGATACCAGAAAACCCCAAGAGCATCCTCAGAACAATGAATGTCGCCAAGGAAAGGCCGCAAAGAGCTAAGTGTCATCTCTAGAGGATAGTCTTGAAGTATGACGGGACCAGCCACACAGGCTAGGATTCTTATTTTGCGGATCACAGAACAAGCATGAAGCGAGCCAAGGGCGGGATGTATGGATTCAAGCAACGAACGGCAGACAAAAGACACCAGTGATGGCGTCCATATTGATTCAAATTCAAATCCAGTGCGTCTGCAAAGAAACTCGATCTCATCCAGGAGATAGCGTGCTCGAAAAGAGGGCTGTTGATTTGCTGGCAGTGCATTTTGAGACGTGCTCTTGTTGGTTATTTGCGTCTGAATGTCGAGCGCATAACCGAAGTTTTCACGCTTTGAGAATGCTCGTTCGATCTGGTCATAGTAGTCGAGGGATTGGAAAAACGCAGCAATGATTAAGGGGAACTGGCTCTCGATTTGTGTCATGAACTGGTCTGCTCCGAGAAGTTTCCGCAGACGGATCTCAACACCTTTGGGCTGACTACCTTGCCCCGGAGGAGTACTGATATCTCGTGCAATGCTGTATGCCTCGGCCTTGTGAAAAGAGGTCACCAAGAGCTCGAGATGTGGAATCTGGAGGTGTTTCGCGAGCTCAATTGTCTCCTGTTCCTTGGCACGCATCATCATTTGCCCAACGATTTCATCTTTGACGTCCACCAGCATGTTTTGTAGGCTGTCATACCCAAATATACTAAATGGCATGGACATGATACTCTGTGTTTCGGTCCACGTGTAGAGTATTTGAGACGAGAAAAGCCGAAAAAGTTCTTTGGCGTCTTGCAGACCAAGGGTCTGAGAAACAGAGACCATACATCTCTCGGCGTACCACAGTGATAGTGGCACTTGGGCTGGGGTTTCAAATAGATGGTAGATGCTTCTTCGCAGCAAAGTGTGCCATCTGGAAGCCAACTGCGAAAGCACAAAAAGGCGGACCGCAATTCCCTCGATCCATTCCGGGTCTCGCGGCAAGCTTTCCAATATATCATCGAAAATGGCATCGTGGTCTTTGAGAAGGAATCGCTCAAATAAAGCAGGGATAAATTTCGCAACGCTGAATTTGACCTGAACATCACCTTCTCGAAGGATTGTGAATAAACTCGTTCGTGGTGACGGAAGAGACTGCTCATTGCCGTATGAGGGGCATGTGCCAATCACCCGCTGGATGAGCTCGGCCAGGGCAATGTAGACCTTCGGGGCAGCTCTTTTTCGGGTCAAGAGCACTTCCATAAACCAATTATACAAGTCCATAGCCGACTCTTTCAATGTATCGTCAGGGCCATTTGTCCAGGAGTCGACAAAGCTGGTCATCATGCGGATGCAAACACAATGTGAAGCCTCACACCGCTCCATTTCATAAGACTGTAGACACTTTTCGCCTAAATCTTCCAGGATGGAGAGCAGTTCCGAGGGCTCCGATTTCGAGCAGAGCTGGAAGATTTCAGGTAAAATAGCTTGGGCTGCCAGGATATCGGCTTCATCCAAGCCTGTCAGGTATTCAACGACAGATGACGAGTCAGAATCTGCTTGTGTTCTGAGAAATATCGAGAGTTGGATGGTTACACAGCGTTGATATGTGACAGGGTCAAGGAAGACAGATAGAGAATTTCGGTTCAAGGTAAGAATAGTGTCATCAGTCGCTATTGGGGTTTCGGCCATGAATCGGTCGTCCAGATCCATAGGATCTTCGGCCGCAGAGGGACTCTTTGAGCTCTGGCGGAAATGCTCGAGCGTTTTAGAGAGTGGAGTAACAAGCTCTTTAAGACTAGTCTGAATGGCAGTGGGTGCGTCAGAACTCGACAAAGGACCGATGAGCGGCGATAGTAAGTCCAAGCAAGATTGCATGAAAGCAGATTCGTGAGTGTGAGCTGCCAGAAAATCGCATATACCATCCCACAGACTCCGACAGTTCTGATCCAGATCTTGTGATCGAGATTGAGATTGCAATGATCGAGGAAGACATGCCATGAAGAGAGAAACCACAACACAAAAGGACGCCAGGATTTGCAAGTTATCTGGAGTGATATGTGATCTTTCTTCATTCATAGCGTGCCATGTGTGTAAGAACGACTCGGATCTCACTCGAAGCATATCCAAGATAACTATATCATCAGGGTCCTGCCTAGTGAATTGCTCCAAGGACCACGTTTCCTGCAGACCCCAGGGATTTGCTGGGGCAGAATTCGTATCAAAAACATACCCCAACAATTCGTGGTTCTCGTGGAGAAAGAACCAAGTGCGGGCTATATGCCCCGTTGGTCCTGTGACTTGACAACGAGGAATGGCGAAGGATCGGTTAGTGCATGACAAAAAAAGGTCCAGTAAGTCCAACGGACGAGCATAGGCAGCTACTCGAGCTGTCTGGATGCGATCGGTCACCGAACCTGCAAATGACTGTCAGAGGAATCACCAAAGGAGAATTTTAGGGTCTCGTACCAGCCCAAACTTCCCTTAGCCAGCCACATATTTGTATCGAGGTCTGCTGGGCTGACCCAGGATCAAGCTGTGTCCTCATTCGGGCAATTGAAGCCCATAACCTTAAAGACGAGTCCGAGATAGCAGATGGTCCATTGGCAGAAGTCAAGAGTGACCGCGTTGTCTCCATAGCTACTGAGTAATCCAATAAGTCTGACTGCAAAATCATACTCACTAGGTTACATGCAGCTCTCGATGTCACCGGAGATGAGAATGCACGCGTAGTAAATTCGACTACTCGTGGCCAGAGACCCCTAATTCCAGGCGATTTGGCAGTAGACCCGTTCGCAATACTGTTGTTATGCTCAAGTTAGGGCGTTTCTGGGTGCATATCCAGAGAGTCTTTTAATAATGATTTACGTACCCCGTCAGAGCAACCATCGTCCAGGATGACACGGCGTCATTGCCGTCAGAGACGTTCAGAACAAGCTGCTTGAAGAATGGCTCCTTCGTCTCAATGTCAACCTCAGATTCGAGGAATGGGATGAGTTGTAATGCACATATTCTCCTTGTGCCTGTGGCCGATACCGAGTCCCGAAATACATCCTGGATCTCAGAACTGAAGCGCTGCCTTTTGCTTGAACCTTCGCGTGCTGACCCAGACTTGATATGAATACCCTCCGAGAGCTTGAGCAGCTCTGCAATCAGCCAAAGGACCGTCCAGTTATGCTCCGATCTAGCAATTCCGAGGCAAGGTCCATATACTGGCCTGCTCCGGCATGCTTCATTGTGATAAAGTGTTGTTTCATCGATTTGTAGGATCTCCTTCTCTGGCCGCCTCACATACTCCGAATGAAGTGTACTGGCTAATCCTTCGATGTCATGTGCCAGAGATTCGGATGGGGCTTTTTGAGCAGTGTTCACGAGGACGATCATCGACAGCATCAAAGTGGCAAGTAACTCTTCCTTGAGAATCTGTAACTTAGTGGCCCATAGGCGTCGAATTACTGGAACCAGGCCCAAGAGAACCGAACGGACAAGTTCGGATTGATCAAACATGACTTTTGTAACGACTGCATTGATGCTATTAAACGCGAGCTGGTGGGCATTTCCAGCCACAGGTGACTCGACAAACTCCGCAAGTCCGTGAAGTATGTTTTGGGCCGTAGTTTGAAGAGGGGGGTTCGGGCTCCTTGTCAATAGTTGAATACAGATTACAACTTCTTCAATGACGTTTCTATTGCCACCGTGCCTTTCCCTGCTGACTGAGGCGGGAGCGACGGTCATCCTTGAGGGGGTAGAATGGCTGTCGCTGGCATCTTGATCATCGGGAACGGATCGATAACCGCTTCGAATACTCAATTGGCTTTCTTCGTTCTCCCGGGGGCTAATACTGGCAAGACAAAAGCTTACGAGGTTTTCCCAGTCTTCTTCGTCAAGATGCTCAGTATGGGGACGGTAGCGTAGAAGCGATGCCAAACACTTGGTATAGTCCAGGCTCAGGGGTTCCCACAGACCTTCCCCAGGGACCGGTATGGTCTCAATAATGTGGTCAATGACGGCGCGGACTGTTTTGATTCTCAAATTTTTCAGGAAGAGGTCAACAGCCATTCGGAGTACGGAAGCACATGTCGAAAGCCGGGATGCAGAAGTAGTTTTTGTGGACTTTTGAGCTCGATTATATATTGACCTTTCTGCTGCGACGAAACGGAATAGTGATTCGAAGATTTTGTGGCAAGCTTTGTCATTGAGTGTTTGTCTAGGTTGAAAGATAGTTAGCTACTTTGATAGCCTGCACGGTTCATTCGGGGGTAGTTGGCTGCCTACAGCTTGGAGCTCTTCTTGTTCTGCTGGAAGATGTGCTTCAAGTCTAGCAATTGAGTTAGCACCAGGTCTTTCTGCGACGGAATAAGATAAAAAAGCAACCTGCCAAACCATCCGAGCGGGCCTTCTGTTTGTCTGACGAGAGCAGGCTAATCGTCTTGTCGAGAAAGATCTCCCCCATCGCGTCTTTCTTGGGCTCTTCCTTGGGGTCTTTCTTGGGCTCTTTCTTGGGGTCTTTTTTGGGGTCTTTTTTCGACGTCAAGGAAACCTTGAAACATTGAGCCTGGCAGAAAAAGACATCTCAGATCAAGTAGGAGCCAATAATCGAGCCGATAAGCGCGGTGATTGTTTAGTGGAAAGTGGAGTGGCAGTACTTGCCAAAGCTGTCTACCGCCTGATTTTTGTCGCGTTCCGCCTTTCAAGACTCTGGAACAAACAGAGAGCTCGAGCTTCACTTCCTAACTTCACCCCGCCGTCATGGCAGAGCTCCAAGATACCCGGAATGGCCTCCGTGGCCTGTATCAAGATCTCTCTGCTCTTTCGAACTCTCAACTCCCTAACGTCGATCGCTTGTGTTTCGAATTGGAGACCCATATTCAAGACTTCCGCAAACTCCTAGACAAGCCAGCGAAGAACAATGCCAGCCGTCAAGCTGTTCTCTCAGGTAAGTAGTCACCTTGGTATCCTGGTTCTCCCAAAAACATATATTCCTCCATTTCGACAAGCTACTAATGTCGGATGCGATACCCTAGGGAAGATCACCGTTGCCGACGTTGAATACTCGGTGAACCAGGATTTCCAACAAGGCGCATTGCAACTTGCGGATGCGCTCGACATCGATGAATTGGAGGCAGCAGTTATGTTTCTGGCCGCCCAGGAAAATTCACAAGCGCTGGACAGGCCCCCACTGATCGCTGCGATAATAAGCTTCCATGAGCGCCGCCATTTTATCCTCGAGTGTCTACGTCTCGTCTTCCGAGAATCGCGCGAAACTGAACATGAAACGACCCACCCTATCATGCACGAAACATTGGCCCACGTTCTGGAAATAAAAGACAGCCCTCTGCGGAATGCCTCCCTCTTCGCGCGAAAAGCCTTGAGCTCCATGGCCGACATCCAGAAATGGCTGTCGCTTCTTGGAGATCAAGTTCAAAAAGCCTCAGTCGTCGGCCAGGAAAATGACCGCGATATCATGGAAGCCATTGAATTCCAACGTTCGAGCCTGCAACAGCAGCATGAGTCACTCGGAGCAATCCTATTCTATATGTTCAAAGGGACATACACAAGCAGCGAAGACTTCCGCATACTTGTGAGTCAGTTGAAAAACATTGATCGCTTCGACGGACTTTTGTTTCACTACATTCCAGTCACAATTGTGTCTTTTGTACAACATGGTTCTCCTGAGGGCTCTGGATCCGAGAAGGAGGCACGAGACCTGCACAAATTAATCACTACATCCAAGGATGGCCAAGGTTGGAAGCTGTCAAATTTCCACGCCGCCCTTGTTGCTCTGTGGCTCTCAGTCTACAGTGGATGGTACTTTGATGGTCTTTCATCCCCGTCAGTCGACGCGGAGAAGGAATCCGAAGAGCGTACGAAGATGTTCATGTCTTCTCTCGACGATGGCGCCCTTGATTTCATGCTTGCAATCTGCTCCAGCGTCAACACCGAGGAATGGGCGGACCCTGCGCGGAGCGAATTAGTGACATTATTGCTCAGGGAAAGTGTCGTATCATTGCCTGAACCCGAGCCATGCTCTAACTTTATGAAAGAGCTTTTGATGGAAAACCTCGAGGTTTTCGTGGAATCATGTGTTGCAAATATGCCTGACGCGGTCCGACGACTGAAGTCCGAAGAGGACTCACAACGACTGGACCAGATCACCGCACTCAGAGATGGCCTCACTTCCAACCTCCACCGTGGCTTGGTAGAGGTGCGAACTCACCTTGAGTCCCTTCTTATGATCATCTCATTCGCATTTGAGCACCGACAAGAAGCCGCCCAAGAATTTTGGGCTGATCCTGATGGGAATCTTTATGGCTTCCTTCAGTGGGCGTCCAAACGACAGACTGTTCCTCGTGTCAGCGCTTTTTGCGAAATGCTATGTTCGATATCCGAAGGTGAAGAAAATGCAGCAGCGGCGCATCGATTCCTGTCGGAGGAAGACAAGTTTATGGCTTCCAAGTTCAAGCGATCCACAACAATGAATTGGTCGCAAATGTTCGCAGAGCTAAAGCTTTACGCATCTCGGGTCACTGAGAAGCCGTCCACTACTACAAGCCCCCAAGGGCCGCCAGGGATCTTTCGTCCGCGGAAACCAGAGCCCGTGGAAATGAACGAGCCCGAGAGCCCAGTGATGCTGACATGCTACCTTCGGCTGATAGGCCACCTGTGCAAGCAGAGTCGACCTATCCGAGAGTGGATGCTGCAAAACGAATCCTTCAATGTAGTTAGCACTCTGTTAGACCTGTGCAGTGGGCCGATTCCATCGCATCTTCGGGCAACTACCTTTTCAACTCTCTCAGCATTGATGACTGACAAACTCTCCACCGTTGGAAAGGAAACGTGGGCCCGTCTCGATGGGTGGTTATCGGGAGGCACCGGTGCGTCCGGCATTGGCAAAGTACCTTTGGTTTCCAACCCTGCCGTCTGGCACCAGCAACAAGCCTTGCAAAAGATCGGAGAGAGCTTTGACCAGACGAATGCATTTGTCGTTCTTATCAATGCACTTACTGCGCCCTCGTCCGACTCAATTGACGACCCAATGTCACTGCCTTTCCCGGAGACCCTAGGTGGAACTTATCGCATGTCCGGGATTGAACCTTACATCGATTTCATCTTGGGGCATGCCTTTTCACGGAAGATTCAAGATCTTAACGAGTATCAGTCCCGCCTGTTGACCTTCAACTGCCTAGACTTCGTTGTGGCAAGCTTGAAATCCTTCAATGAAGACCTAGTATTACTTCTGAGCCAGCCGTCCGTGTCCGATTCTCCGACGCAGACTTCATCGCTGCTCACCTACGTTCGCTCGCACCCATTTGCCCGTGTGGTGGACTGGCTTTTCAACGAAGATGTACTCAAATCTCTGTTTGCAACCTCTAAACAAGACGTTTGGGACGTTGCTACCGCGTCGCCTGACTCTGTTCTGGTTCTAACCTTGCACCGGAGTCTGGAGGTTATGAACTTGCTCGTGGACATGCAATCGACATACTTTAACATTGTCAAGCCTTTGGTACACTCCCAACCCGTACCCTCCCGGACCATCGTGGCAAACTCCTCCCTCGCTTCATTCGAGGACACCGTGCTGAACAATCTGACACTCATCCCGTCACTCTGTCTCTATTGTGGCACAGCGCATGAACAACTCACCGTCATTTCCATGGCTTTACTGGAAAAGCTTACTAGTTCCAGAAAGCTCAATAAGATGACTTCGCCGGAACTCGTCAAGTGGCAATCTTCGAACAAGATTGTGGAGGTGCTTGCGTCTGAGGTCGATGTGGATAGTATATCCCTGCCTCTTGTGTTACAAATGGAACCCGACGTGAGAGAACTTGATTTCGGCCCGAATGCTGCCGGCTATGTCATTCGAGAAAGCCTTCTTGCTCTTTTGAACAGCTGCCTGGGAACGATCACAGACCGCCCAACGGTAGCCCATCTGCTTCTGGGCTTCGACTGCGTGGGCAACATTCTCGATGTGCCATCGGAAGGGCTATTCGCGAATCAAAGTTCCTTGCTGCATGCTATCGTGAATTTCCTAAAGGCTTATCCGGAGATCCTCGATGGTGGTATTATATCTTGGGTAGTGCACCTCAAACGTATGGCTTTTGAAGTGCTGAAGCATTTGTGGTCATCGAAGCTAGCAAGCTACTACACCCTTGGTGAAATGCGTGCTCAGGCATTCCTGCGCGAGATGTTTGCCTACCAACCGATCATTGGCCCGAGCACTGCCTGGAATGGATTCCTTATTGATTCAGAGGAATTTTGGCTCACGGACGCTGCCACTGCCATGGCAGAATTCCTGCTTTATCGGAGTCACCTCTTCACATATGCCGCAACTGAGGTTCGCTCGACAGCAAAGGCTAGATCACCGGCTCTACATGCCCAAATTCTTTCAGTGTTACTCGGAAACACGCTTGCGGATAACGGTGAACCAATATCCAGTCCGTCCGTGTTTGATCTTTTCGATTTCGCAGATCTTGATGTTGGACGCGAGTTCAACATGCCCCAGCTCTCCTTGCTCGGTGATGTCGCCCTTCAATTAGAAAGCAAGCGGGAGGAGGGCGTGTACAGCATGGAAGGGGTAGAGGAGATGATACAAATGCGGAGAGCAGAACTCACGGCCAATGGACCGCTCCGCCCGCCTGATGAGGAGCGGTTGCTAGCTGAGGCCAATGACCTGAAGTTGTTCATTCTTGCAACAAAGCAGAACAACCTGATTCAAACCAATCGCTATCACGCCCTCCGTTCCTGGGTAGAGCTCGTTGCTACGATGATCACTTGCTCTGCTATCGATGAAGGAAGCAGGCCGGCTTTCATTTTACATTCAATCCAATTGATTCTCCCTAAGCTCACAACGGCAATCGAGGCGGATGTTCCCGAAGCGCTTGAACTGGCACGATTGGCTGAATTATTGATCGGCAGACTTCCATCCGAGCCTTCGGCAACAGATGCGTCTCGAAGCGGGGATGTCATCGACGAAAAGCTCCACCAGCTCTTTCAACTCTGCATTCGAGGTACCAACCTGGCAACAGGAAATGTGTTGTTGAGAGAAACGCTTTACAGTATTTGTTCTCACTACATAACACGCATCACATCGTCGAACAAGGGCCACGAAAACCTACGACGTCTTAGCCAACATGTCATCAAAGCGGCCGGTTCTAGCCTGATTGAGACCATGTGCGATGACGCCTATACTGGCCAAGAGTCGTGCCGCGCATCCGCCCTTGTGTTATTGAACAGTTTAGCTGTTCTAGATCGCCAAACTGATTGTGTTTTGGCTGAGTTAATCTCGAGGTCCAACTATTTGAGTCTATTCCTGGATGCCTTGCGGTCTCTTCCCGTCGAACTTCACAATGCTCAGGGAAGCGGTGAGTCATCCCTCCCCCTGAAACAGTCATGTTATGATAACTAATCAAAACTTCAGACACCCCGGCGTTACTGGCATACTATGAGTCGCTTTTATTATTACTTCAGCGGCTGTCTCAAACCAAGGGTGGAGCAAATTGTGTGCTCAACTCTGGTCTATTCCAAGCCGTGCACGAATCACGTCTTTTCGCTGCTGATCCAGACATCGGCATTGGTCAGTCAATCATATCCTGGCCAATTGTACCTTGCTAACCCTCTCAGACATTGAAAATCCCGATGCCCTCCAGAGGTATTACGATCTTCTCCTTTCACTTCTTCAGGTCATCGTGTACGCGGTTTTCTCTCGAGGTATCCACAACGAACAACTTAAAGAGCAGACTCGTATGTTTTTGGCTGAAAACCGGCTATGCATGGTGGGTATCTTCAAACGATCTGCCAAGATCGGAAATACATCAACCGCCCACCACGAGACTCTATGTGAACTAGTCAAGACATTCATGGCTCTTGTTACTGCCACAGATTTCATGGAGGTATGTTTTCTTTTCCTTTCTTTTTTGCAATCTGTTGGGCCGAATTAACGATCATGTGACTAACTGAGTGCAGTTTGAGGAGCAGGAAGTCCAACATATCGCCCGACCAGCGTTGTTCTCATGAGCCTTTGCCTACTGATGCTCACTGGAAAATTGAGAAGAAATGCATGTATCATTATGACCCGGTGGAGTGCAGGCGGTTGCCAGGTTGAGCGATTTTACTTTGAATTCATTTGCATCACGTCTAATTCGTCATGTGTAAGACATCCGCCCACTTCGAGGTTTCAGGTCTTGTTATGGCTATATTTTGTAGTAATGAGTGCTATCTTCGCTCTTGTCAAAATAACAAATTCAACAATCAAGGTCCTGGGTCGAGAGGCTATTTTCCCCTGGTGCCCTGGTGGATAGCTACTCCGTCGGCATACCCAGAAAATGCACACCCGGAACCTCGCAATGAAGCTTTGAGCGCACCATCGAAGGTCATGTACAGTTCTTTGGGGCCATGATGACAACGCGGTTCTTCGCCTAGAATATAGTCGTCGCCCTATGACTCATGAAATAATCAGATATTTGAAGGGGCTTGTCTAGATGACTGATTCAAAGGGACGATCTTGGGGTCGTACTGTCCATGATGATGAGACTAAAATTCGAAGTGAAAGCTGATATTTATACAAGTATAACAGACATGCTATGACTATTACTCAACCGGGCCTTCGCATCATCTTTAATATACTTGTTAGGTGCATTCGCCATTGTGTCTTTTTTAGAGTCTAGAATCTTTTGGAGTCTTTTCTGGAGTCTTTTCTGGAGTCTTTTCTGGAGTCTTTTCTGGAGTCTTTTCTGGAGTCTTTTCTGGAGTCTTTTCTGGAGTCTTTTCTGGAGTCTTTTCTGGAGTCTTTTCTGGAGTCTTTTCTGGAGTCTTTTCTGGAGTCTTTTCTGGAGTCTTTTCTGGAGTCCTTTCTGGAGTCTTTTTTAATGTCTTTTTTGATCTTCTAGCCAACATGGAGAAAGTAACATACAAAAAGTAGCCTTGGAAAGAAGAGTATAGTTTTCCATTGAACGGAGAGTCCCATGCATAACCTAGCCCTAACTCCCACCTATTTGATAGTCCCGAGTTGCCTGTACATATGTATCGTCCTGGAGTATCAACTTGTTAGTGTATACATGTAGTATGTAGTATGTAGTAGTGATATCATGGATGCTCCTGCCCTGGTGAGGTTGTATATAGTTTTGTAGTTTCCTTGCCCTAACTGCTAGTGGTTTCCATGGCCACCATCCATCGTACCTTCCTGTATAGCTTCATATTCTGTTTACCAACTCATCGTACCTTCCTGTTGCCATTGCCCGTTGCCATGGAATATCCCAACTGTTATTTATTTCCTCCCAGTCCTCCCAGTCCTCTTTTTCTTTTCTCCTTTCTCCTCTCCCCATGCCACTGGCTATTTATCATTTGCTATTGCTGCTCTTGATTACGAAACCCATTTCTCATTGCTTTCCAAGCTTTTCACCATGCCCCCTTCTTCTTCTTCTTCTGTTTCTTTCGGCAAAAGGATTCATCCTTCTCGCCTCCACCTCCTTTCTAAAAACCGCCCTCCCCCTCTGAAGTCATGCCTCGCTTCTTCGGACTCTGATCGGGACTCCCACCCCTCTGGAGAGCCATGTGTTCGGAAGACTGTACACTTCCCGGATGACATCTCTCTTGTGCGGGTCAGGATAATCCCACCTCGCAAAGATCGGACCAAGAAGGCCATCTTCAACAGAGGTCGGCTCGCGGAGACGAAGTCGTTCATCATGTACACTTCGAATCCCTTCGGCTCCACCCAGCGGTTCCTTTGCAGGCTTCCTGGAAGCCCTGGACCTCGGTACACAATGTACTCACACTGGATGAGTGTCGTTCGTGCCCGTCGTCTCGCCGCTGCGTATTCATCCCAGCCCCGTCCTCCGCGCTCCGCACCTTCCGCCAATGGACCAGTGCCTGAACCTGCCTCCGATGGTTCTCTGCATGGGTCTGCCTTCGATATGTCGTCACTGAAGCATGCCCTGCTTGAGCCTGCCTCCGGTAGTTCACTGCATGGGTCTTCTCTCGACATTTCCTCTCTGACTCAGGCACTGCCTGATCCTGACATGGCCTTCGACATATCCCCTCTGATGCGTTCACTTCCCGACCCTGATGCTCCATCTGATGCATCCTCCCTTGCGCATGCGCCCAAGTCCATGGTTGCTTCCCACTCTCGCGAGTCTCGCAGTCTACCTCCAAAGGCTCATGTACGTGTGGTTCAGACCCTCGTCCAGGTTGGCCCGTTCTCTGCCACCCGCTTCTTCAGCCTTTGCGGAGTCTTGCTTGTTTTGGGGGCCTTCTTCCCATGGCTTGTCCCAGCATCTTATGCTGCGTTTGTGCTTCTGTTTATCTATGGGACGTGCTTCTTTTGATGCCCTTGGTCTGCATTCAGGGTCTTCAGAGCCCTTCTCCATTGGATTCCTCTTTCTTCCTCGGTTGCTCTCATCTTGTTCTTGTTGCTTTCTGGGTCTGCTTTTTTGTTTTGTTTTGTTCTGCTGAGGCATTTGCCGTTTGCTTTTGCGAAAAGAAAAAACCCCAAAAGAAATGCTTTTTGTTCCTGCTTTTTGATGTTTTGTTTTGTTTTGTTTTGTTCTGCTGAGGCTTTTGCCGTTTGTTTTTGCGAAAAGAAAAAACCCCCAAAAAAATTGCTTTCTGTGTCTGCTCGTTGGCGTTTGGCGTTTTTGACTGTTTTGAGGGATCTGGTGAGTATCTGGTGAGTACTTTGGAGACATGGGGACAACGTCTCCGTCTGTGATCGCGTGGAAGGCAGCGGGGATGTGTGGTGGCTCAGGATGGCGACGAGGGTAAGTCCTTACCAAGCATCTGATGATTCCAAGAGCTAACATCACGACCTTCAGGTGGCTGGTGGGTGTCGTCCCGACAAATCGAACCGACCGAATCGAACGTCTCTCTCTGTGAACATGCGGAAGGCAGCAGACCGTGTGGTGGCTCAATTGGATGGCGACGAGGGTAAGTCCTTGTCAAGCATCTGATGGTTCCAAGAGCTAACACGATGATCAATTTCAGATGGCTGGTGGGCGTCGCCGTCGCAAATCGCACCGATTGAACGTCTCTGTCTGTGAGCACGCGGAAGGCAGCAGAGCGTGTGGTGACTTGCTCCCCCCCTTACCCCAATCGTTTTGAAAACAGCATGGTTGAACCGCAAGGTCTTCATGCTTCGTGTGCTGACATCTTATAGATCGGACAAGCGTCTCTGTCTGTGAACATGCGGAAGGCAGCAGGACGTATGGTGGCTTCATCTTTTTTCTACTTCAAGGTAAGTATGATTCCAATCCTTTCCTCCCTTTGGCTGCATACTAACCATATGTCTTCCGGTGGGGGTTTGGGGAACGTCTCTGTCTGTGAAGGTGCGGAAGGCAGCAGAGCGTGTGGTGGCTCAATTGGAGTGGTGACGGGGGTAAGTATAATCCAGGCATCTGATGGTTCCATGGGCTAACACCCACAGTTGGTTGGTGGGTATCGTCGCCACGAATCGAACCGATCGAATGGAACGTCTCTGTCTGTGAACGCGCGGAAGGCAGCAGAGCGTGTGGTAACTTGCTTCCCCCCTTGGATCCCCTTTTTGGAGATAGCATGGTTGAGCCGTAAGGCCTTCTTGCTTCGTGTGCTGACATTGAATAGCTCGGTCAAGCGTCTCTGTCTGTGAACATGCGGAAGGCAGCAGGACGTATGGTGGCTTCATCTTTTTTTTCTTTCAAGGTAAATATGATTCCACTCCGTCTTTCCTCGTTTCGACTCTATACTAACCACATGTCTTCCGGGGGAGGGGGGGGGGGGGGGGGGACGTCTCTGTCTGTGATCGCGCGGAAGGCAGCAGAGTGTGTGGTGGCTTCGTCTTTCTGGTTTCAGGGTAAATATGACTCCACTCCTTTTTTCCTTGTCATCTCAAGCTGCGTCTTCCAGGGGAGGATGGCGAACGTCTCTGTCTGTGAACGTGCGGAAGGCAGCAGGACGTGTGGTGGCTCGCCTTTTTGGCGAAGGGAGTACGCTCATGCCTTTGCTCATGGATTTTCTGTGGCTGCGCTAACTGACTTTTCAGTGCCCGCTGGTATCCTCCTACCTCTTTTCTTTCTTGTTTCTTCTTTTTTTCATCATGTGTTCTCGCAGTGCGAGGGGTATGGAGAAGAAAGGATGAAGTTGAAGCCGAGTATATTTAAAGGGTTTGTGGGTGAAACAAATATATCATGCATGATCACTCGGAGTCGCAATGAACTTCCCAACACAAACGGAGCTACAGCTGTTCTGAATTACAACTAAAAAATCTCGAGAAGTATTCATAGTCTCAGGACATTGACTATCATGTTTCAAAACGAAGTACCTAAGGTTACTACAAGGCATAGCCAAGAAAAGCTCAATTTAATTCACTACATGCTTTCTGAGCTGAGTACTACAAATTGTAAGCCATAAACTCATTCAATTGTTGGCAGTCTCCTCCCCAAACAGCGTCCCAACACGACTCGACTTCGTACAGCACTAGTTGACCGTAGGCTGAGACGCATAAAACGGGCTGTGCAGACGGTTACTGATGATACTAGTGACACTGTCAATGATTGACACCACCCGAATGCGAAAGCAGCCTGCTTATTGTTCGTGCACGAGCGACCGTTCAGACCATCAAGGGTGTCCATCCAGAGGTGAGGTATAAATGATTTGATTCCAGCGAGTCCCGTGGTCACTGTCGGTGCTGGGCAATCACCAGAGGTGACGGCCTGCTGTACCTCTAGAGTTTCGATGCCTTTTTTTTTGTTACAGTGTCAGTTTTCGCGAGCATGTCGGGCATCGTGACTGGTGAGGCGCCGCTTTTCTCGATTGTCACGAGTGACGAACGGAGCAGGATCTCTCCCTGCCGAGGGTACTGTTGGAACATTTCTGGTTGATTGAGATGTGATGTCTGTACGATATACACTCTGGCTGTCCCAGTGATGGTGATTATCACGGTCGAAGTGAAGTGAGATGAGTCGGACTGGATGATCGTCGTTGGTGCTTGGCCTGCTCTTCTTGAAGTATTGCCAGACTCACCAGTTCGTAAGAGCGACTGACTGTCGTGCTGCTATTGTTGTCCGTAAATTTGTGGCTGTAGTGGTTGCTGTCAGAGCAGCTCGCCATGGGCAGGGAAATGGGGGCTGGTTGTCAATGTTCCCCATTCCTCCCGTATTTAGTCCAAGCACAGCCATTGGAGTGCCACAGTCATGAGCCACGGCAGGAAAAAAGACTGATGCAGCCGCGAGGCCTGTATGAAAAGGCAATGGGATTAAAGTCAGATCATGTAGCTTCTCGAAAAGCAGAAGACAAGTGTGATGATCGAGGAGAGAATGGAATTGCCCTTTTTTGTCTTTGGATATGTAGTATCTTTCAACAGCCAATAAGTTATACAAGTGTGGGTAGAGGCGCTCTGAGGCATACTGGAGATGTAAAGTTCCTATAGTAAAGTCAAAGCTACTAGTACATCATGTATTCCATGTGTCTGTACAAATATCTATGATCGGTATTTCGGGAAAGCTCGTCACTTAGGGCTAATTGCCACGAAGCCCGAGTCCGAGGCCCGAAATCTGCCATGTGGTGTTGGGTTTGTCTTTTGCGGTCGATACTGGTCTACTGCATGCAATTCTACACAATTGGCTCATTTGCTATTGTCCGGATGAAACCGGATATTCTGGTCTCAATATCAATTATTACCTGTGTTGCTGTTCATACCATGCAGCTCTCGAAACTCGAATATCGAGGATTGATATACTCGGGCCGCTCCACGAAACCACGGGACTACATCTACAACGAAAGCAAACGAAAACATGAATGCAAGCAAAGCATATTAGAAGAATATTCGAGACTAGCCCTAAACAAGTTAATCTGTAAACAAACTCGTGATGCAAGAAAAGCGCCAGCATAACACCAACCCATGAAAAAGATAAGACAAGACAAGACAGCACAAACTCGCAAGACCAATAACAAGATCAAGTAGATGTTTATGTATGTTGCAAGAAGGGGGAATAGTTGTAAAGAGACAACCCGCAAAGCCCGGCCAGCTGAGAACCAAAACTCTATACAAGTCGTGACGTGTAAATGCGCTGAAACAGATCCAGAGAGGTGGAAAGGGTGTGTTTGTATGAGGTGGCGGGGGGAAAGGGTATGAGACGCCAGAAACCAGAATGGATACAAGGTCGAGTGCGAGATATGAGATAAGCAAACGCTCAGCGGGTCGAAGGATAGCAAAAAAGATGAAAAGATAAGATGGGTGGATCATGGACTGGGGAAAAGAAAAGAAATGTGCCACGTAGAATGACAAACTCAGGTATCGGACGGATGGACTACGGTGGTGTCGGAGTTTGTCCGAACTCGGCGTGGTCGCGAGGCTTATCGCGGGATCGCATGTACATGGCATCGGAGTTCGCGTCGGCCGCTGGGGGATCAATCGCGCGGGGAAGACTTCTGTGCTGTTGCTGTTGTTGGGTCACAACCTCTCGCGCGTAGAATTCTACGAGCATTGTCCCGTACGACTCTAGTTCTTCGACGGTGATGGCGAGTCGGAAGTCATTCAGAAGGAGGAACTGTAGTTCCAGGTGATTGAGCTCCACCAGTGGGAGACCGCCAACCTGCATATCCAGACATGATTAGTTTTGATCCACGAGTCAGATATAAAAATCACATACCTTTGCGTAACGTGAATTGGTGTAGAAAACATCAGAGAAGAACTTGCTCGCACAGGTTACGGCAGCGATGACCAGTCGATGGATATTAAAGCTATCCACGACGAAGAAATGTGAAAGTGCCTCGGCATCCGACTGAAGTGAAAGGCTGGGCGAAATTGTATTCGCCCCTTGCGAGTCCTGCGCAGTAAAGCCTGTTGATGGGGGTGGTGTCGTCATTAGAGAGTCCTGCATCTGGTGGGCTCGTGGAGACTCGGTAGATGCGGATGAAGATCCAGATTCCTCGCCAGAATCCCAGCGTTGGTGCAGGTGGTCGAGCTGATCACGGTTGACCAGCTCGGTCATGCGGTCGAAGTAGACCAGCAAGCTTAAAAAGACCTCGTAGGTTGTAGGGCAGTATTTGTGGATACGAGTCAAATAACTCAAGATTGTAATGGTCGGGACATTCTTTCCGTGGAATGCGAGTACGCTGGTAGCCTGAGGGCTAAGGTTGGAGGTGCCTTCGGGTGGCGGGATATGGCGATGTACATGTTCGTGATGCATATCGTTTGTAGTCGTGATTTTGGTCAGGAGTCCAGCGACCATCTCGATGATCTCCGTGACCGGCATGGAGCTAATCTCATACTGTCGTTGCTGCGACCCAGTTCCGGGAGTGTGTGAGCTCCGCGATCCCACCAAGTCCTCACTGGCGAGGCTCTGGATATGGGACAAGCTTTGGACTCGAATGCGACTCGGTGAATTGGCTTCGGAGCCTGGCACAGACTGCATGGACTGGTATGTGGGTTGGAGACGCGGTGAATCCGGCGCTGACTGATTAGAAGAGTACGAGTTGCTCTCGCTCTGGGTTGGTGGGGTACGTGTTGAGGAGTAAGAGTCCGACGGAAAGGCATGGCTCGGATGGGACGTCATCGAGGGCGGACGTGGGGTGAAGGTGGGAGTATCGGAAGAAGCGCGGGAGGCTTGAGAAGGTGTGTATGAGTTGATGTAAGCCGGTACATCATTCGCATGCACAGGAAGCCGAGCAGAGCCTACGGACGGTGGGGCAGTAGAGGTGGGGGTGGAGGAAGCCGAGTGAGTGTCCATTGGCTGGAAAGAATAAACTGAATCCGAATTGATTGCGCCTCCCAACATGTCGTTATGATCCGACGGCACGTGGTTGACGACGACGGAGCCCATGTCAAGGCTATGTCTGTTTTTCTGCGGGAACACGGGTCAGCAAGGCGGTCGCAGCTCGGACTCGCCACTATAGACCGGACATGGGAGATCGGATATAGAATAGAAATGATATACGCAATAGGGAAAAGGAGAGAGGGAAAAGAGAGAAGAGAGGGGTTTGCATACACTTTTTGATTACCACAAGGGCTAGACCACAGAATCAGGGAAAACCCCCGGTCTGAATGGAGAGGAGGTGGGAAGATCAACGACTGCCGATCGAATCCATTGAATAGAAAGAGAAAAAAAAAGAGGAGAATAGAACAGAACAGGAATAAGGAGAAAAGAAGTAATAAGAGAGAAGTTGGAGTTTGGGTCAAAGTGAGGTCAGTGAGGTCACAGTGGCCCCGGAGACATATGAAACAGGATTGGATTAATTACAGACAACATTTGAACATTTCAACTTTATAGGTCTAATTCTTGTTTGGACTAACATATGAAAAGGAGGAGGCAAAAAAAGGAAACATACTCTGCTTTCTTCAAAGAGATTATCTACCTGTCATTAAAACTTGATATAAAAGACGGTGTAGAGTCTATACGGGGTACTTAGACCAGGCTATATTGACGAATGATAGAACGATCTGCATCCCCGTGTCATCGATAAGTGATGATTTCAGACGGGACCATCTTAGCGCTATTTACCCTTATTACCGAAACGGGGATTTGATATTTAGAGTCCGGGGATGAAATCTATATTGGGATTCCAATGTGGATATTTCCCGATAGAATAGCCATGCATTTCCCTTTGTCTGGGGCATAGACTTGCATTAAATAATGGAGAGCATGGCAGTTTGTCTGCTGCATGTGGGATGTGACATGTTCTACCTGCCTATGAATCTCCCAAGGTCTGGGCAGTACTAATGGAAGCTGCAAATCTAGGAGTGTTTATGTTCTACAGAGTATTACAGTACCGAGTCAACTCATTCCATGATATAATAGACCAGGGTACATAAATCCGGTGTTATTCCCGGTCCATTCAAGTATATCACTCGTTATGATCCAATAACCTGCTGGCCGAGGACTTCCGATCTAATCCTTCTTGATCTGCTCGGTCCTTTTCTCCCTACATAGCCCGATGATAAAGGTGGGGGTATGGCAGCACCCGTGGACTAGTGTCAGACTTGTCATATTGGCGCTCAGACGCAGTATATCCCCGGTGGGGGGGGCCGCATAGCAGAATGCAAAGACCGGAGAACTGAGATCATGAAACCATTTCATTTGGAGATTGACGCAATATTAGAACACTTATTAATTCGTCACTCCCGGCCCAGTGTAGCCGTTGTCCGGCAGGTAGAGATGTCTCACGGCACCGGCCTTGGTGAGGACCACGAGACGAATCACACCACCGGAGCTACCGTCCCACTTAATCGCCTCCTGCAAAGCACTCCGCACGAAATCAATACCCTCTTCCTCAGTCATCTGTTCCCGCCAGTGGGCATCGGTATAACCGTAGATGTAGGTCGAGCCGGAACCGCCGATAGCGAACGACTGCTTGTGAAGGGATCCTCCCAACGGTATCGAGAACACCTGACCTCCGTGTCGTGCATCCCACCCGGCAAGAATGATACCCGCACTATTGTTCAGTTAGCAATGGATTCCTAGCGAATACCGATGATACAAAGACTCGGGTACAGACCTCAGCGCGTCCTTGTTCTCATAACACAATTCCTGGAAGAGTGATGCAGCAACCTGTGTGGTGGGGGGCTCGGCGTTCGTTACGCCGTACATGTTGAGATGGTAGGAGACAATGTCGGCCACGGCCTGGGTGTCTGCGGCGGAACCCGATCGGCAGCACCAGATGGTGTCGTGCACCTGTGTCAATTTGTCGGTGACTCGGTTGGCAATGTAGGCACCGGTGGTTGTTCGACTGTCTGCACCCAGGATGACTCCGTCTTTGAAGTTGATAGCCATGCTGTTGGATCGTTAATGGGGATGTTTGGAGATGGTAAGGTTCGAGAGCTCCAGCTCAACTCACATCGAGGTTCCCAAGCTGAATGAAGAACGATAGGTTAGTATATGTTCTGTAGCTCCATGGCAAACCATATCATCATAGGTTTAGCTTACTTGACCTCGCCAGACTTCAGGTGGTTCATGTCGACGTGAATGCCATCTGGAGATGTTAGCTGGTTGCTGTCGGCGGATGACGATAGCTCTGCTCACCTTCACCGAGCATTCCTGATGTTCCATGAGGGGCGACCATTTTGTGCTGTGTTCAAGAGAAAATAGAAAAAGTAGACAGATGACTTCAATAAACCAGATAAAACGGCAAGGAGAAGAGGGAGGTTAAGGGAAGAAGTAGAGGTGATGCTATCATGAACACAGGCAGAAGCTCACAACGCGGCAGCTCGGGCGGTGAGGCCCCAGCCCCTGCGATCGACTTATCATCTCCCCCACGAGACTCCTAAAGCTCAATTGCCCTTTTCTTCTGTGGTTGTCTCTATTGAACTTACTGTATTCATCTCTGGTCGCATTGACCATATCTGCTAGTCGATAATTTTGCAATACCAGAATCTCCCTGACCTCGTTTTGTCGCGTCCTCTATCTGGTCCCCACTCTTAAAGTGCCAACTTCAGCGCCATGTCGGAATCCCCTCCGCCTCCGTCTTGGAGCATCAGCAACATGGCGAACAGTGCTGCGCAGTTCATGCGACTGCCGGTTCTTGCGTCATCTGGTCTGGCTGTTGTTGCAAGTGGGCTCCTCTACTTCAAGCAAAAGTACGCTATTTGGCATCTAGGCGATTTGTTTACGAAGCTAACGACTTTCCCCAGTGAACTAATCTACCCCCGCAATGTTCCAGTGGATGCGCGCACAAATGTCCCCAGTCCTCGCCAATTTGGCATCAGCGACTTTGAAGATCTCCAGATCCCCACACCCGACGGGGAGTCCCTGCACGCCCTTTTTCTCCGGCAACGACCAGGCCGCTTCTCTCGCAATCTGACAGTCCTGATGTTCCACGGAAATGCAGGCAACATCGGCCACCGCGTCCCCATCGCCAAAGCTGTACAGGATACCCTTCAATGCAATGTTTTCCTACTGGAATACCGCGGATACGGGATGTCTACAGGCACACCGGATGAAGCCGGCCTTAAGATCGATGCTCAAACCGGCCTCGATTACCTACGACAGCGCCCAGAGACAAGTGATACCGAGATCGTTGTCTACGGACAAAGTTTAGGTGGTGCCGTGGCTATTAACCTGGTTGCCACCAACGAGGAGCAAGGTGATATCGCAGGACTGATCTTGGAGAACACTTTCCTGAGCATTCGCAAGTTGATCCCAAAGTATGTTTTCGAATTATCAGCAAGGTTCCCGAGTGAGTAATACTAACTTGAAGTCAGTGTCTTCCCACCAGCACGGTATCTGGCTCGTTTCTGCCACCAATATTGGACCAGTGAAGATGTGCTGCCTAAGATCATCAAAACTCCAGTTCTTTTCCTGAGTGGACTCAAGGACGAGCTTGTTCCGTAAGTTTGTCTACTCCGAGCGCGGCGCTTTCGTTGCTAACCTCCCTTAGCCCGTCGAATATGACCCAATTATTTGCCGTTTGCAAGTCCGAATGCAAGATCTGGCGCACACTCCCGAACGGCGGTCACAATGACTCTGTTGCTGAGCCAGGCTACTTCGAGCACATTCTTTCCTTCATTACGGAAGAAGTGCTACCTAATAAACAGTAGGCCGACATGACTTACTTCTCCTGCTTGGGTTTTTCGAATCCCCTCTGGCGAACCCTTTCCCCAAGGCCTCTCCCCCCCCCCCAGGTTTTCTTTTCCGCCAAGAAGTGCAAATACTTCAAGCTTTGCTCCAATGCTTGGCTGTCGAACCTCTTTTCGATGGCCAATCTAGACGTCTGGTTTCGGCCCCTACAACACAAGAATCAATTGACAAGAACTGTTGATTATGACCATGATACCCCTGCCACGCAACCAAGACACGAATTTCTCTTTGCATCCGTTCAAATGATCACGGCCTGCCTCTTATGGGCCCTGATGACTTCCTTTTTTGACCCCCAAGCCCTCGGGGTGAGGGCCATACCTCCCATTTGATTGAGAATGGCTCTTTTCTTCATCCTTCTCTTCTTGTCTCATTTACGTTCGACTGTTTTTCCTTCTTGTTTCCTACTTGCTCACTGATGTCATACTCGTGGTGTTTACAATATTGGCTCAATATCGGGCGCTGGGCGTGTTTTTCTTCTTTGCTCATTTTTCTACGGACCTTTGCCTTTCGCCTTGCTTATCAGCTCCAGCAAATTTCCTTCTGTGCAAATACTAAACGGAGAGAACCCTTTGATATCGGTACGAATGTAATAATTTCATTCATGAATCTTTCGCTGTCCATTCCTGGGATACCTATCAGCAACAGGTCTTTCATTGACATTGTCCGCTGGTCCCCCAAACTCAAGCTTCTGGAGAGAGACGATGGAAACCCATCATCCCATTGGGTGGCTGCAGACTCAGCGACTTATCCGCGCAAGGGCACCGTTCATCCAAATACATCCTCAAGGTCCTGTATTCTCCTTGCATTGCATGGCGGTGGGTAGAAACCTGTTCTGGGCCTCGGTGCGTACATCTAGAAGTAGAAACGCACTTCTCACCCGGTCCAAGTAGGTTTCAACGAAATAAACTCTTACACCTTGTGGAGGTATTGCGGCACCGAGAACTACCAATTGCTTGTCCGAGTTGCTTCGGTGCCTAAATTGTCAGAAGAGGGGCATAGTAAGCCACATGCATCCTGCAACTTGGAAATGCCGATCTCAGCAAAATCTGCCCTGGTTGGATTCTTTCTGGTTATTTTTCAAGAGTACTCCCACTATCCATCACACCCATCCTAGTACAAAATGGACACTTCAGGTGACCAACCAAGCACCATGACCACAACATACAATACAGTTGAATGGTATCGACCAACCCTAGAACAGCTCCCTGCACCAACTGTGGAACTATTCCTACAATACACAGGCCTGAAATTCGAAGACGAAGTCAAAGACCACATATACAAAATCCGCGACAAAGCATGGCAGATGTAAGCAAGACACCCAAACATCCCAAAATAAGCCGTTATTCTTCCTAGAAAATACAAGACTGATATTGAAGTTCTCAGCCATCCATACCCCTGCATCGGACTATTCCGCTTCTTAAACTTCAGCATAACCCTCTCCCCTATCTACGCGCAGGTAGTAAACCGCGTACGCGAGGGACAGACCCTGCTAGATCTAGGCTGCTGTTTTGGGCAAGATCTACGCAAGATAGCATTTGACGCGGGGCTATCTTCGGCGACGAACCTGATCGGGGCTGATATCGAGGGTGATTTTATTCAATTGGGGTACGAACTGTTCCGAGATGAAGATTCCTTTGGGGCAAAATTTGTCACTGGGAGCATCTTCGACGAGGACTTCTTGGCTGATCGGCGTGGGTCTGTTGATATAATTTACTTGGGAAACTTTTTGCATTTGTTTGGCTTTGAGGAGCAGCGGGTTATTGTTTCTCGGCTTAGGGAACTTCTTGCTCCTAGGGCTGGTTCTGTGATTTTTGGACGCAATATTAGTGCGGAGCAGGGAGGGCCGTTTTTCATGGAGAGTCTTGGATGGAATATGTATCGGCATAGTGATCAGACGATCCAAGATCTTTGGAGCACGGCGGATATTGGGTTATGGGAGGTGCATAGTCGATTGTCGGGGTATGAAACTGCGGCGACTTTGGGTGAGAGACCTGGGGATTGGCAGGGTGATGGTACTAAACAGATGTCATTCTGGATTGTTAGGACTGATGGTTGAATACATGAGAAGGGAGATCACTTCCAGCGAGTACGTTATTGTAGTCCGAGACAAGTTGAAATATAATAAGTTTCGACATACTGCAATTTGATATATATCACTAGCTATATCTACTGATTCAAACTTTTGTTTGAATCAATTCATGAATAAGGGTTAATTCATGCACAAAACCCCACAAACATGTTCGTGTCACTTGTTTATATATCAGAAAACACATAATCAATTTCTTCTTTTTAATTTTTTTACATCCGTTCCATGATCAATGGCCAATTCTTTGGAGACACCCGTGTCTATTATTGAAATCACGAGGGCCAAAGTCCCAAAGATCTATAAAACCATCACAAAAAATGGAATGGAGAGATACATATAATACAAGCCACCAAGGTTTAGTACAATAGAAACAAACCACTAAAGTTTCTCAGCCTCTTCCACCAGTTCCTCAACCTTGAAGTTCTCAACATCACCCCGGGTGAACATGCGAACAAGCTCACTCTTCCGACCAGAAGCCTGTCCCTCAAAGTCGTAGAAGCGCTGCACACAGCTAACAAGCCAAGTCGCCTCGGGGGCCGAAACACCGCCCTCGGGAATAATCTGGCCATGCATCAGGACCAGACCCTTCTCATCAGCCAGATCGAGGTGGTGAGTAATAGTAGTGTGAGGCTGGGCAAACGCGCCGTGCATCTTATAAACACCCAGATTCGTGAAGATCACAGTAGAGGTGTGGTTATTAGAAGGCGACAGAGTCGACCCTTCAGCAGGCGGATGGAAAGCCCATTGGAGGAAGTGAATGTCGGCAACGGTGCCAGCTCCCTCGGGTGCTTGCTCTGCCTCTTCGGCGGTCTGCGGACGCGGGAGGGGCAGGATGAACTGCGGGTTCTCGCGTGCGGCCTGCATAATGCGCTTGTATGCATCTAACGGGATCGCAGCGGTAATGGCGTGCGAGTTCTCCGCGAAACGGAGACGCCAGAGAGCTTCGATTTCCTTGGCTGGGAGCTCGCGGACCTTCTCGACGTCCAGGTAGGAGCTGAGGGGCTTGACGGGGCTGGAGTCGCCGGAGACGGCGCGTGCGACTTTGGCGGTGCGCGATTCCTGTGGGGGAGGGGGCGCTTTGAATGCTGGGGGTGTGCCTGGGACGGCGGTGGTGGATGTAGGAGAACCGGGCTCTGGGGTAGCTGCGGTGGATGCTTTGCGCCGGAGGTCTTGGATTTTTTCGGTGTAGGCTTCCTTCAAGGACTCGACTGACTCATGTCCCTCTCTGAATAAAATAATTAGCATTGAAGCAGGAATAATTGTCGAGGAAGGTTTGCTCACTCCTTGGCCTTCTGGTCCAGCTTGGACCGATACTTGTCCAAGACATACTTGGGATCGTGGTGGGAGGCGAGGAAGCGGACGTCGTGGACCTGCGCCCACCGGCGCTGCTGATGACGCAGCAGGTGGGAGTTGCCACGGATCACGGATTGGAATCCTTGCAGTCGGAATGATGGCATTTTGAGTCTGAAGAGTAAATAAAATGAATCTCCGAATCTCCAGATAAGAGAAATGCCGGGCCGGACTATCAGATGACATAATTACTGACATAAGCATACTATTGGGTGCCAAGTAATTAAGACATCAATATTTCCTAATTAGGACATGTGGGTCCTTTATGTTTTATTGAAGAGTAAACATTTTCAAGATTCTCACTGGGTAGACCAACCGTTAGCTGCTATGCTTTCTGTGAGCTTAGGGCGGGGTGAGCAGAATTGTCATATAGGGCCGGACCGGCGAGACCGATGCATACGTTCAACACAGCATCAGGAGGATCTTGTTTTTTTTGACCCTTTGGACTTCATAGTAGGTCTACTACTTGAATAAAGGACCACACAAGACAATAGTATTGCGCGGCAAAAGAAGCTGAAACAAGAAGGGTCTAGCAATCCCTCAAATCCCCGCGTTGCTGGCGTTGCAAGCTGCACCTTTTGATGCTTTGATCTGGGAATTGTCGTCACAAGGCTATCTTTTATTCTTTTGTTATTCAGCACACCTAACTTGACTGGGAATTGTGACTCAAGCAAACACACCGTCAACATACCATTGTACATTCATACCTCGATTAGCTCAAATATGTCACCTCTGTTTCTCCACATGGGTACCAGTAGATGTACACATGCATGGTCTTCAGGAAATGAGTTTATTACTGTTAAATAGACAGCCTAAATACCCGCTAATTATTTGCGAAATCCATTCCTAATATCTTGCATCTCCCTACTTCCATCCATATATCACAGTGGATCCACCCATGTCTATTAGTCAGCATTTCAATGCCCAACCAAGGTTGCCATGTGGAATGGGGCCCTGAACTATAACCTTAAGGGAACCGTGACCCTACGGTCTTCTAAACTTTCCAGCTCCTCAAAAACAGACCCCCTCATCTCCAATTATTCCCCATCTTCCCACCCCAGAGAAAGGAAATTAAAACATCCAACGAAAATGCCAATCCATCAAAAAGAATTCTCCACCCCACCACCCCATCCACCAGCGGGCACACCCAGGGACTCCCCAACCGCACTACCCTGGTACTCCATCGCGCCGGGGGTATGGGAATTTCTGCTAAACGGTGACGGAGAACACAAAGCCGTGCTGCAGTGGTGGGAGCCAAATACTACATCTGTCCAGACAGAGCCAATAACACATACCTACATCGAAGAGGTCTGCACTCTGCGCGGGGGCTGGAAGATCTTTCGCTCGGACAGTCGTGGGGTATTGGTGCCTATGCCTACCGGGAACCTGGCATGGAGCATGGACCGTATCGGGCGACGGCGGAGGGGTGTCTGCAGTTTGTTAAGGTCGTGCCGGTGAAGAAGTAGGGGTCGGATTTTTGAGTTCAAGTGTGTAGCTGGGATCTCTGGAGATTAATGGCTACGTTTTTGGCTATTTGAGATCTGGGTATTGATAATTTGGCTTTTTTTTGGGAGGATGGATTCCGAGCTTTTTCTAGCTAGTTCTTATTTTCTTATTTTTTTTTTTTTGCTTACAGGCTATGCCAAAAACATGATGCATGCTGCGTGTGATGCCTTTGACATGCGATACTGTATCATGTATGATGAAACTCCAAACTCCGAGGTTAATGCAAGTAACTTCGCAAAGAATGAGACATGTCGAACGCTTTTGAAACATTTATTTTGTTCCTCAAGTCATCAATCATCAAATCTTGTCCAAAATTTAGACCGGCACATAATCTGTAACAGATTCTTCAGCCTGAGTTGCTTCAGCCTTAGTTGCCTCAGCCTGAGTGGGGCGATCTTCCGCCGAAGTCTCAGTCTCAGGAGCAAGTTCGGGATTTCCCTCAGGGTCCTCACGGACAGGCATTTCCTGGTCCTTGTCCTGTTCCCCCGCTTCCTCTTTTTCCTCCTTCTCCTCAGCCTTCTCCTCGGCCTCTTCCCAATCATCAACAACCTCAGGCGCAGGCGTCTTCGCACGCAAAGACTTTCCCACCCCAACACCAGATCTCAGAACCAAGCGCTCCTTCTTCGCCCCATCACCATCAAGAGCAGCATAGATAGACTTGCTCACCCACGAGTTCTGAACAGGGGTTCCAGTCCTCGAACTAGCCCCGCTACCACCCTTACTCTTCGAAGCAACCTGAGCCCACCCACCGTCTCCAGTACTAGCCTGTACCTTAGCGGCTTCGCGGGTGGCCTTAGCCTCGAGGGCAGCGACACGACGCGCTTCATGTTCTTTGCTTCGCTCGCGCTCGCGGAGCTTGACACACTCGCGCACGCTCATGCCGCCGATGCCGATGGTCGAGCCGCTGCCCATGCCGAAGCGGGGAGGCGTCCAGACAACCGGTTTTAAGACGAAAACGTGGCGATGGGGTTCTGGGTCATGGCTTTCTGTTACGAAGCCCCAGTCTGCGGCGAGGGAGTGCGCGAATGCGCGGAGAGTGGTTTTCGCCGGCTGGAAGCGGAATGAACGGGTGGGTTTGTCTGCTGCTGCTAGGGAGTGGAGATTGGATTCGTAGGTTTGGAGGGTTGATAGAGGTACCGAGCATGCGAGCTGGACGTATTGGTTCAGAGTCTCTTCCGAGTACGGGAGGTTCTCGGCTGTGATGGTTTGAAGCGTGGTTGTCTGGTCGATGTCGATGCCGAGAGCGCCCGCCAGGGAGCGGTTCCGCTCCAGACGTGTGCATTCGTCGTCGCAGGTCAACGGAGTCAATTCTGGGTGGCGCTGGGGCGACTGCACCTGGCCCTTGGAGGTCACGGCCTTGGCGGCGTTGCAGCGTCTCTCCTGTCGCAGTCGTCCACAGCTACATGTCACTGCGATCTTGGACGAACATGGTGTCTTCTCGGGACATGCGTACGGCGCATGGCATTGCTCTGTGCAAGGATGGCCGCACATCGTCTTGTTCTTTCCACAGGGCTGGCTGCAAGGTTTGGTTGCGTCTTCGCAATCCTCCGGGCGATGGCAGTCCTTCCGGCAGAAATGAGAGCCACACTTGAGCAGTTGCCCGCACACTTGACCACAGCGCGCATCTGTCAGCCAGCAGGGCACGTTTTTCAACACCCGCTTTCCGCACAGACACGCCTTCTCCGTCAAGAATGGACACTTGGGACAGTTCTCCTCGTCTGTGTGGCAGGTATGTGCCGCTTGAGGATGGCCGCATCGCTTTGGGCGCTCACAGGGGAAGTTGCAAGAGGGTGGCTTTGCACCACAAGGCTGCGGTGGATACAGAACAGATCTTCCGCAATTACACGAAATCTCTTCAAACACTGCCTCCCTGCAGGTATTGCAAGCCCCCTTGTGGCAAAGCTCTGGGCATGTGTGCCTTCCGCATTTCAGCATCCGGCCACATATGCGAGTGCAGATATGCTCTGCCTCGATGTCCTCATCAGCAGGGCGGAGATGGGGCCTGAGTTTACGACGTGCAGCCTGACGCTCGTTGGCCCTTTGCTCTCCCGGACAACACCTTTCAGTGCATGTGTGCCGACCACAGTGTAGAGTCGCCTTGCATGTTCGTGGGC